TCCGCAGATAGCTTGGATCCCACGCTCGACTCGATATTGTTTTCTTTACTCCGCGTTTATAATAGATTTAAAAACCTATTACGCATCAGTATGGTAAACCTCTTGCTTGGTGTAATACCTGTAACTGGATTTAGCATACAAAGAGTCGAGAAGTTCTTACAATTTTGTTAGAATACAATACATAAAAAGTAGTATATTTAAAACAATAACGCCACAAAACGGCAATGCATTTCTGTATTTTGGCACAGATATAATTTTAGTATTCCCAGCAAAATCCTCCCGTATAGACAAATTCAATTTTGAACTGTGTAATTACGCGGCACATTTGAAATATTGTGCAAGCGTCTTGGATTTCTCCTGCAGGGAAGTAATTCCATAATGAGTGATTAGCGTAATCCCATTGAAGGCGAAAATCAAATGCAAAAACCAGGGTCATATTTCGTAAACTGTCGGCGCTTTACATTAGTAACGATCGACGATCGACGTAACATCCGCACTTCTTGAGCAAACACCCTACGCACAAGTTAAAAATTGACCTTCAAGTGCGTTAGGTTAACGCTTACCATTTTAAAACCTGAGCTTCGGCTTATCGGGCAATTTTCCGCCCTTTGTGAAACGGGTTATATTATATTCATTACGGTTGATATGAATAGAGCTTAATTAACGGAAAAAGGAAAAGCGTGTACTGTTTCTGTCGCGCCTAGCAGCTTTGTGTTCGCGGAACGAAAATGCATACGTTCTCGTTGGCTGATGAATGAAAAAATTATGTCAACCGAAGCATGTGCACGCTCGAATGTACTCATTTGCATCGGTGCAGGTCTATTGCACGTATGATTTACAATGATGCATATTGAAGTGTTCCCCTTTTAAATTCTTTTAGGTGTTTGTTGACATATTGTATTCTGACCTGCCGTGCACCGAAAATGACAATGAACTATAAATCGTACTATTCCTGGCTAAGCGAATTAATTGGAGCTAACTTCTGAATATTGATCAATGATCACGCCTATTGCGGGAATATGTCGCGATGTGCAATAAAAATATTGGTTATATCCAATTACAAAATAAGCGGAGAGACAAACACACGCTGTAAACGTTCTTTTTTGTGTTTCATTATTTAAAAAAGATATCCGTCTTTCTATGTTGCCAAAGTGTTTTTGCTCACTAAAAGTCAAAGCAGGACCCAGATTCAAAAATAAGGAGTTCAAACTTTTGAACTATTACTGAAATTCTACGAATTCTTTTTTCGTCCAAGTTGAAATTATTTTTATCGCCAAAGCAAATTAGTATTAGTATCATATCACACCACATCATTCAAATTTGATCTGTATAATGATCAAATCGTGCAGCACACAAACGAGTTATTGTATTTCGTATTTCAGCATGGGGAACATGATACGTAATGTGTTTACTACGCCGGCTCGGAGCTTGCATGTCGAAAACATATCCGGTGTTTTATTGAGTGCATATAGTAACACAGAGCATGTGCTGCAATAATAACGGTCGATTGTTCATTTCGTTCGCCTAGGTGAAATAAACCTACATGTATACAAATGTTCTTCCAAACCTAAAAACGAAACGCGTTAAATAATTAGTACATACCTAACATATGTTCTATATATAATGAACTCGAGAAGGGCAACCTATTTTCTGAAACTGTTCCAGAAATTTTTACACATTCACAAATTTTATGCTACTATACCGAAGCGAGTTTTAAGAACGTCTAACACAAGGCAAAACAAACTCCAGCGATAAACCAACAATTTCATCCGGCAAATGTATGACGTTGTGTATAAAGCTGTATCAGCTGATTTACTGATACTAATAGAAGGGGGGGATAAATTTGTTAAATTCACCAATGTGAGTTCTAAGACACTTTGATACTAAAAATTTATAAACAGTACAATTATGGTAAGCGAAATTTGGAGTATATCATGCATATATAATATAACAATCTATGATTTTTGTTTAATGATTTGCTCAGTTGAAGGACATAAGTAGTCAATAAAAGCGAGAAGACGGCAAACGATTGATGTGAAGATTGAAACTTGAAATAAATTTGTTTGCACGACAATTTGATATGCGAAGGTCGAAGATAATACAAATTCGCCTCCTCCTTCAAGGTAGGTACACCAACATCGTTAATTAAGAAAGTTATATTACGAATATCAAAGAACTCGATTACAATGTACTTCCGATTCATCTTTCGAAAAATGATAAATAAATAAACAAATATACGGTGATACGTCTAATTCGACATACACGGATGACGTCAGTAATCGCGGTACCTTTGGATCCACAAAGTAGATTTTGTTTAATCGCGACACTTTGAAATGATCGATGACTATCTGATGGTAGTAGGATATCCTTTCGCACCAAATGTATTCCCTAATTGAATTAAGATGAAGTCATTTACCCCGGAAGTAAACATCGTGAACTAGTTTATTCAGTACGATTAAACAAAACTTTATCGCTGGTAGGATATTGTATTCTATAAACGGTGTTCTGTTCGATATATTTAGGAAATTAAGTTACCGAGAAGCAAAATAGGTACAAAATGACTCCCCTTGGTAGGAAGTTGCATGCTTCTAAGAATTTTAGTTAAATTCACCATGACTTTGTGTTGTATCATTGGAAATTACAAATCGGATGCACTATATGGAAATAAAATACAATGATAAAAAAATGTATCATTCACATTTTGGCAAACGTTACTTTGTCAAGGATAAATATTTTTACATACTATATATTTGAGTATTTATAAAGTAACCATGTTGTGGCTAGTGTTCTTTAGAACATTGCACACATTCAAATTTAGTATTCACAAACGGGAAGTGTTCATGAAATCACACGACATCACACACGAGGCTATATATATGTCATGAGAATGGCCTCGACCGATTTGCTCAAAACTTCGATTTTCTTTCTAGTAAATACACAGTGTTCGAGATATATGCGATAAGTTGTATTGAGGACGCTTTCATAGTGCAGAAAGCCGCTTTGCTCATTAAAAAGATCGATAATTATACACGCCGTTATCGGACTATAAGCCAGCTCGTGATCTCGCATATTATTCGTGGTCAACAAACCAATGCTAATAGTTCCTCGGAAGCCTGTAAATCCTTCCGTTCGGCAGTTTTCAAATGGCATTTCCATTCAGAAAATAGCTCATTATAAACATTATTTCGACAATGGTATATACAAGGTATTTCGAAAACAAAGATTTCAAGTTGGTTGCACACAGTTTCTGTATTAGTTATTACTATTCCCAATATTCAGCCAAATTTGTTTGAAATAGATCATGACCATTGCTAATGATAGTTCGCAGATGTTTTTATAGCACTTGGTTGGCAAAGTTTTGGTTGGTAATGAAGCAACACAATTATATCCACGCATTCCAAGCGATTCAGTTCAGAAGTAACGACCGAAATCTGAAAGGCAGTCTTTCATTGATATGATAGTTCAAACGTTACGTAGCAATCAGGGAGTTGCAGCATTGGAGAACCAATTATAAGCGCTCACAAAATTCAAATTTATGCATGATAAAAAGGAGTTCTTTTAGCGAGGTAGTGGTCCAAATATGACTTGGAAAACTTATTACAGTGGAACTATAGTAATAAAAAGTATGTTTGTTATATCTCAACATTTGAATAGAATTATGTGCATTTGTTGCATTCGACCTGGCATAGGAATGCATACAATAAAGAGATCTATGTGCACTAATTGTGGAATTTAATTTTCGTGCAATTATATAATCATTTTGACTCATTTTTCATAGTTCGAAAATGGAAATTATTACAGGGTGTATTCGAAATTCATTCAATTGTTTAGAGTAGCAAAATTTAGGAGAAAGGCGAATTTTTCTAGCAATAGATTACTTTGAGATGTAATAATAGATGAAACATGATTGCGTTTGAAATCGTACTGTACTTTTGAAATAAATCACCAACTAGAATTTATTCATGATATCTGTGATACACGGTCCCGCTCATATATTTGCGCAATGATATTTACATCAATTCAAACGTCAATATTCTTATGCCGGCATTGTTTCACAAGCCGTTGTTAATGACAATAATTACCGATAAAAACAAATCAATTAGTCTTCTCGGCAGGATATACTGCCTATGTGATGTATTTTACGTGCATAATGTTCAAATATGTGATTAAATTTGTATTATTGCGTAAATGTTGCGCTCACCTTGTTAATCCGTGTACGATTGCGTGAAATGACTGAATTTGCTTTCGGACACTCGATTATTGGCTGCTTTACGCCAGATGCTTTGCACAATGACATCAGCAAATCGATTTTCTATACAAAGTTACGCAACCATACATATCTTGAGATGGGATTGATATCGATAGGCTAACATGTCCCAATCGAGTATGTAGCATATCAATACCCATGCATTGTCAAACATTCACTAAATGATTCATATATCTTATTAAATTTTTGTGTTGCGCAATGCTGAATTAAATTTACCATCGAAAGATTTATTTAGGTATAATAAGGTCAAGAAGACAAATCAGGTGAGTAAACAGAATTTTCAAATTAAGGATTCACCTACTTTTTAATTGGACTAGATCCGATCAACGAGCGTTAACTGGGTAAGCTCTGAATGAAGACATACCTGTATTTAATGTGTGTTCTTAAACAAATAAACCCGAAAAGTAAGCGGTTAATATTAGATTTCATAATTATGCAGTATGTAAATTTTGAATGGCGTGATATTTAACGTTGGCATCCGATGGCGCAAAACTGAAAATTCTGACAACGGATGGTTGACATAAATATCGTACCGCGTGATTGAAAAACTACAAAAATTCTTTGGCACTGTGGTAGCGCAAATACGCCCCTAGTGATGAATATATTTTGTACAAGAGAGAAAGGCAAGAAAACGAAGAGAAGTAACGAGAGAAAGGAAAAGAAGTTTGTCGCTATATAAGAAGATGTCGCGCCGGCTAGATACTCATTCCATTCGCCGGTTACCGGTGCACATCTGGTTTTCGTCAGTTCGACCGCTTGCTCTCGAATGCATCGCTTGTGAACGCTAGTTAGTATCAGAATTTTAAAAAAAATTTTCCGTTTCAACAGATTGTCTAATATAGACTAAAACTGTTATATCAACTTATTGTCTGTGCTGCGACGTGCTCTGTATTGCATGGAAAATTTCATCATGTCGACATACACATCGGCGGAGTTTCAAAAAGATTTTCAGGTTGGTACTCAGTTGTAAGAATGTTTAAAATGAGTTTTATGATATGTGCTGAAAAACTCGATTGCACTTAGATGGCTTGTAAAATATGTTGTGCAACCTATAGGAGCAAATAAGTAATTGAATGAAAATAATAACGGTACAGTCATATCAATACGCACTGTTTACAATTTAGTCCTTCCAATGCAAAAATCTAACACAAAGATTTCTTTTACAGGCTAAATTGGCTGGCTCAGACGGCATCGACCTGGCATACGCTTTGAAGACGCTCGGGAACAAAGATGCCTTCTCGCTGATGAACAACGCCTCCTTGGCCGGCATGTGGTCTATTCAACGGCCGGACCTAACCCGACGCAATTCTACCTCTTCTGTTTCTTCAATCGCCGCGACAAGGAATAGACTGAATACAAGCCCGTTAACTTCAATAGCTAATATTATACCTGAAGCGAGCACTGCAACTATTACAGCTGCTGCATCAATTTTAAGTTCAATTCCACCAACGGAAGACAGTTTTCGTGGGCGGGCCTACAGTGAGGGAGCTAACTCGTTGTCTATTGAAAACGCATTGCAACCTCAGCAACAACCGATTGCATCAAGCCGGTATAAGACTGAATTATGTAGGCCATTCGAAGAAAATGGAAAATGCAAGTACGGTGACAAATGCCAGTTTGCACACGGAAAGCAAGAATTGCGACAAATGGTTAGGCATCCAAAATACAAAACCGAACTCTGTCGTACATTCCACACAAGCGGTTTCTGCCCATACGGACCTCGATGTCATTTTATCCACAACCAAGAAGATACTACGAACCTTCCCCCTAACAAAATGCAGAATGGACCGACATCGACCGGAAACTTAACTCATCAGGCAGTTCAGAGCAATGCATTTGGAGCCGCAATGATGCCAAGGTGTGCCCCCGTCGCTGTTCCACAACCACACATATCCGAAAGAAATCATTTCAATCACCGACCTTCACAACTGGACCTTTTGAAGCAACTCGAAGCTGGATCTAACTTCGGCGGTATGTCGTATCCTCAGCCATCACTGAGCCCACCAAACAACTCGCCGCCTTATTATCATGGAGACATCGGTTCGACCGTTCTCATGTCACCCACTTCGCCGAATTCTGCTACAAACGGAAGTATGTTCAACTTCAATATTCCGTTTCAGAATGATCGAATACCCTCCACTGCTAGTGACCTAGCTAGTATGCTGTCAGGAATGCCACAATATGAAATGCAGCATTCGCCACCAACCATGTCCACTTTTGATATGTTTCGCTCTCAGGGAATCCAAGAAACCACCGTGAATGACGATAGCGCCTTCGAAACACCGCCCGACTCTGACCGTGAATCTTTGACGGGATCTCCACCCGAAAAGCAAAGGCTTCCAATTTTTAGATGTCTTTCACAGTCGGAGTAACTCGTGTCGGGTCACTGATTGGCAAAGGTGCAGTTTGCTAGTGACTTCAGTTTCTAGTGACATGCTCGATTTAGCTCGCTATTATACTTCGAGTAACCCGTCAAATGGGAAAGACGGAATCGGGCATTTTTTTATTGTGTTTTATTTTATTTCTCAAGGGATTTGCTGAGCAGTGCAGACGAACTGTAAGTGCCTTTCTTGAAATTTTCTTTTGATGTTAAATTATTATTATTGTGATTCTGTAGATAAAAATGCACTTCGGCATATTTGGGCAACTCCAACAAAATTAGCCTGCGTTGGATATCGCATCCCGATTACTGTCATTGTCAACAGTTTTTTCACTAACGATCACAACTTTTGGTATTTTGTTTTTTTTGCCAAGACTTTTAGTGACTTTGTCTGTTTCCAGTACTACAATGTTCAATTTTAAACCAGTTTATTACGCTTTTGTCGAATAGCCACTTTCTATTTGTTTTCATTTATTTTATTTGTTGCTTCTATTGTCACTAATTTATAGTACTTGTATTTTTCCATACAAACAAAGTATACCGTATACTAGCTGCTCGTGATTGCTGCATCTGCCATGCCTTTTGCCAGAGTGGGTTGCAGTTTTAACTGGTTTAGAACGACAAGCCCATTTAACTTCAAGGCACCTGTCATGTTGTATAGTATGTTAGTGTTGTATTGACAAAAGCCCACAACCCCACAAAAGGTGTATTGACATATTGGTGGTGTTTAGAATGGTCTTCGCGGTAAAAGTAGAATTGATTTTCAGTATTGTTCTTGTTTGTCAAGCATAAGCTAACTATGGTTTTTGTCTCGGACGACCCATACATATATGGCACACATTTGGCTGTGCATGCGTATTTTAAACTGCCATAAAGCGACTTGATATATTTGTAACCACTGTGTTGATAATAATATTAATAATAAATTCTTATGTCATAATGATGCGATTTTAAATGCAGTTGACTACGGTGCTTCGCCAAGACGCACGACGCGGTGGGTTGGTATATTTTAGTCTGGTACAAGTTCTGTATCCGCTGCTGAGCGTATATGCATGCATATGGCTGCCAGAATGGTAGTTCGACGATTTGAACGGCCGGAAGGACTAGCAAAGTTTTCGCGTCCGTCTCACCAGCAAGCACTGTAAATCATTTTTAAATTCATAGGAAAAATGAAATATTACGTTTATTTTTATGCCTGTTTTATTTAGCTTTAGTTTTTGGAAATGTCTCGGCCAAATGGTGAAGCATAAGGTGTGAGGGAAATCAATTCCCTGTGTTTTGAAGGCCTACGATTGTAGTATTTATATTTTTGGCGTCATAAGTTATTGCTTTTTTCTTGAAAAACACACTATACTAACCTTAGTGTTGATTGCTGTTTTGTGCTGTTGCCCATTTTTTTCCCGCTTATGATATATCCCATTTACTATGCTCAAGTGTATACGTTATTATCGTTTTTTCAACAATATATTACAGTTTCTATTTATTGTCATTTTTTATTCATAAGTTGCTCGAACGCATTCCTTTATCCGCTTATTTAACTTAATCATAATTTATGTTCTTAATGAGGCGCGAGTGATGGGTTTTATTTTTGCGTTAACGTAAATTTACACTATGTGCGTGTTCGAAAACGCTGTGATTGAAAATAGTGTTTTCATTCGTTAATTTTGATGTGCCGAGTTGCATTATGAATGCAATTGCTGCATTTGCCGCATACGAACACCATTGAGCAACCACGCTGATAGAGTCTCGTGGTTTAAATATTTTTATTGTATTAGCGCGCCGCGAGTATACATCCCGTCACGTGATGCCCGAGCCCTCTCAACACGATGTCTTGTTTGCTTGGTTTTCGTGTTAGTGTGTGTGCGCGGTGGTGCACGTTCTGCGACTGTTTCAGGAAGACAGAGCGCTGACAAAGCCTCACAATTCCAAGTCGCACGGTCGACTCAGTAAGCGATCAAACATTTTACGCTGCCTGGTATTTGTCACCTTCGATTGAGTAGAAAATTAAATTTCAAACCATGATAAAAAATAATAGCAATTATTTGGACTTCGACAAATTTCGAATAGCGCCATACAAGCTGAATATCATACCACTGTAATGCGTTTCATCCGTCAGGGTGCTGTCGACATTTCACTTGTTGCAATACGTATGCAATCGTGATATGACAGCGCGCCATCCGACTGCACTGTTGTGAATTTGTTATTTTCTTGTGGCGCACAAAATTTTGGAAGATTGAATTTTTATTGCAGCAGTAATTGTGTAGTGTTTAGAGCATTGCTGTTTTCTGCCTATTTCATATCACAAAGAAATATTTCACTCATGTTTCTACATTTACATCATATTGTGGATAATATTTTTCCTGTCACGTGCTTTTCAACGCGAATACAATAAAAAGAAACGATCAAAATAAATTGCATGCTTCAGTGTTCAGCTCAACTTGCCAGTTTGCAAGGGTCAAGTTTTTTTCAGTAAAGATAGAAGGAAAACTTGATGTTTTCGTAGGCAGGAGATTGTTGGGTACAGTTTAAACAGGCTTTATAAAACTGGCCCCAGGCCAGATTAGCTTTTCGCCGTTTGTGAGCTGACAACGAGCTTCTTTACCTTCTTGCGATTTGACGTATACGAAAAATGACATTAAGGCCTTGTCGAAGTCATTAGTAGTCAACTGTGGATTAATTTATGAGGGCGGTTTATGGTCATTTATGGCTATTCTCCGCATTTGAACCTCCACGATAGGCCATACCGTGTACACATAAATTATGTTGACGACGACGACGAGTACGCTTGAGTTCCCCCGAAATAATGCTTGGATAGGCCTGGGCGCAGCATGTGGTATATCCGCATTGTTTCCGTAAATTAACTCCGCGAAGTTGTACTTGGTCTTGGGGAGCGAGCGACAATACCACAATGAGAGATCTCAGTTACGCAAACTATCAGTTACGCTGTTGGTAACTGTTCAATCTCAATCGGAACAAACACCAGTGCCTCCAGGCTAAAACCGGCACGGAAATATATATAGCTAAATTAGAGCAATCTTTTTTTTTTTTGATATCACGTTGTTTCAACGTATAATTATTTCCTAGCTAAATATTTTCCTTCGCAGTCACGAAAAATCGTTATACTTGAACAAACATTTCCTTTCTAATCGTATTATCAACTTGGTTCTAATATAAGGTTCGATTAGTTGCTAATGTTTGGTTGTGTGGAATTCTCAGTTGAATGCTAAAATAAGCTACCTATTTTATACATCCGGTAGAAATTATAATGACAAATATTGCGTGAACAGATGCATTAAAGATGTATATTTTCTAAATTAGTGCCAACTAAAATCTACATAATTCTAATAAACATGCTGTTCGAAGCCGGTACCATATTGGACTGTTGGGGAAATCGTAGGGTGTTGGAACAACGCGCTTTTTCCAAGGCACACACGTTGCTGACGTCTTCTGACTGTGCGCAACTCGCGGCGTTCCGTACAAGTTGTTTACGAGCTGCTTGGTCCCCGAGGTAATGGAACGATAAGGCCTGACTTTGAACCGTGTCCACAAAACGCTGAAGTTTGAATATATTAAATATGCGCCGTACCGGTATTGTGTTGCATTCCCGCGTTAAGTCCTAGAGGTCTACAAGTCGAATTGCCGCAAATAATTCTCTCATTCGCGTAATCTTTTTTTGTAATATAGCTAGATCCACAGACATGCTTAGTTTGTTGGTTGTGGACACACATTCTTGAATGGAATACTGTTTGCTCTGGGACGCTGAAAACAGCGCTTCGTTTAAAATATATTGATTATGAATGCGTCATGAAGAGTCCCATACACAGAGGAATAAAAGCACAGATTTTCGTTGGCGAGTTTATCCGATGAAAGCCTTCAAGTTAGTCAACAAATCCATAAAGCGAGTGCTCTTCTTTTGTATTTTTTCCTGCTCTGAATCAGTGACGCCACCTCTGTACTTTATGGATGGGTACTCGCTTTTGGTCTGAATTAGCGATAAATCATTCCTTTGCAAAAGGTGTATGTTGAACAACATTGGCCTCAAAAATTTCACATACAAGCAAAAGAAAATCGAGACACAGGTAAACATGGCGCGAGTATGCAGCTAAACCAACTTACCGCCAAAAACTGTTACCAACTGTGCTGAACTTGCTGAGCCACCTTCCAAGCTGGTTAAAAGGAAAATTGTTTGGTGTAAAGGAAGGAGGTAGTTGGTGACAAGTAACTAAACTGTTCCACGTTGTAGGGATGCAACTATTTTAGGATCAATTATCATTCATAACATAAGAATCAAACGGAGTTTGCAAACGCCAAATGAAATGCGTACGATGATTTGCGATATGGTTGGCAGTTCACATTTCGCAATATTTTAGGTTTAACGGACGTACATTCTCGTAATCGTCAGGTTGAGACAGCCACCCATGTACTCCACGGCATTGCAATAAATTGAAATACAAAGCCTTAAGGCATTGGCCAAGACTGAAAATTATAAGAAGATGGCCCATACCGCTATCGCAAAAGGTATATTCGACGGTTCCATTATATTTGAACCCATGTACATTTGAACCCACGACAATGCACCTGCATACCTACCTACCTATTGTACCTACGGAGATTTTTTTTGTTTTACGGATATTTGAACTCATACTAACCCTAACCCATGGGTTTTAGCACCCGCATGCAGATTGAACCCGCGGATATACACATGGGTTCAAATGTACATGGGTTCAAATGTACGTGGGTTCGAATGTACGGTCACTATATTCGAAGTGTCATTGTGCCAATAAAAATCGAAGGAAGGATATGGGACGTCTAGCAAGAATACATCTTTTTATTAGGATAAATACAATTACAAGTCGCAATTTGAAAATATTATGTAATTACATAAAAGATTATATTTTCCTTTCGATTGTGAGTTTTACACAATAACACATTGCTCAAAATTTCGATTCGTAGGGCCAATCTAAATAAATTGCTTGGTTCAAATGTGAGACACCATCGCCTGAGTTGCACATAATCTCATAATAATCAGAATATGCCATCGGATCTAAGAATCACACGATCAACCATAGGTCATCACAAGATGCTTCCATGAGAAAAAGGTACGTACACGTTAATTTAATGCTGTATTAGTAGACCCATGGTATGGTGTATGATTATCATAGTGTAAATCAAGACTTTGTGCCAAACACTCATATATGTATACTTATATTTACACTAATATTCGAATATATCTATACTGAAAATGACCATATGCAATCTATTCGAAAACTCAATTGGAATACGTGCACTTACAATGATTGATGACTATTCTGATGAATATTTGTATGGTCACTGGAATTTAATCAATGAGATGACAATGGCGCCTTTGTCCGAATGCGAATAAAATTCGTGCATTATGAGAGCCCGTCAGAACATGATATGTAGCATGAGTATTGATTGAAAATTAAAATTAGAGCACTCAGAAACGGCACCAAGATGGCAACATTTTCTAGAAAGCAAATAGAGCGTGTATCTGAAGCAATGTCGGTTGCTTGCAATTTGGGGTCCAGGTGAATTATGATATTAGGGAGAAGAGCAAATTCATATTATTCATTCACTTACTCACATATCAATCTTTTTCTTATCATCGCAGAATGCTGTCATTTTAGAGATTTGCTTTGGATTACTGTGTGCTTGTTTCCAAAGAATATATATACCTAGAACGCTGAACTGGCAGTTATAGCTTCGTCCAATGAACAACCGAATTTGGATATTGAAAGTAGCAAACTTTCCCAAATAGTTCTGATTGAATTCGATATTAAGGAAGTTACCTCAATGACAACGGTCATCATGTTCAATCGAGAAAACCCACAATCAGAAATAAGTGACCACGTTTTCCTTTGTGAGTAGACAAGTTGCGTCACAAAATCGATATCCGCGTATGAGTGGACAAAATAAAATAGACGTTGCAAGCGCTTCTTGAGGTCATATTGTAGCAACCGGACAACAGGTTTTAATCATAGCACGAATGAAGCCTGCAGAAAACGTGTCATCATGAAGCGAATGAAATTTCTAATGGATGAAGCATCATCCAACGGTCCACAAATAAATCGAAAAAATGGGAAGTAATTTGATTGAATATGGAGAAGCATAACCAACAAAACCACTGGACATATTCGTAATAAGTCATCAAAGTTCTACGCCCCCCAGATTCACGTACAGATTTCAAGAAGACCGTGGCAAAAGATTGAATGGAAATTCCTGTACAATGATTAAATGCGCTGTGTACCAATTAACGTCAGCACCGCTGTTAACGTATTGATGAAATCCATTTGAAATACTTCAAATTAATATTCAATAGTTGAATCACATGCCGTAGATTGCAAAACTTAACTCGGATAGAATTTTTTCGTAATGAAAAAAATGAACTTTTCAGAGAATCGTTGGAAATACGAATCATAACTTGGAGAAACTCATTTAACAAAAAAAAGTGTAAGTTTCTTGGGGAATCGCATCGCTTGTACTCATTTTAGAATTTTGAATTACTATAAAATGGCAGCATAACTTCCATGGTTCTTCTTAACATTGTATGTTGGTAAGCGTAAGCCAATTTACTGTTTGACCCCATCGCTCTCTATTCTGCGCTTCAAACACACTTTTAAATGGCCGCTAGTCGACAAGGGGTGGATGATTTTGACCAAAGGGATTAACTCTGTAGAGCACGCACCGGGCTCGCGACGATCTTGTGAGAAGTACTTGAAGCTTTTACGCTCACGAGCTATCGAGTTAAAACACATATTTTCTCTTTACGCAGTTTTACCGAATACGGATTACCGTGGTACTGAATAAGCCTGGTTTCACTCTATATGTACTTTGAAGAGTTCCATATTACGCAATTTAATTTTGGTTCAGGTTGCTAAGAAAACATTATTTCGCAATCTGTTTGGAACACCATTGACGGTAGTCAGATATGAACCATACATGGGCCGTAGCGATCCCACTCTTATCTCATCATTTCACTTAAAAATTACTATAAATTTTCCCGGCATTTACTAACAGCATAACAAATTATATGTAATAAATCCAACACGTCGTTATCCCTTACAAGAGATTGATAAATTCTTGTCAGTATGATGCTATGAATATCTATGTGGCTTCACAGCATAGTCAACTCGTTTGAAATTCTAGTTGGTTGTGAACGCAAAGAAAATGGGAGCACCGCATATTCGCTGCTAATTGTAACCTAATTTTGAATGAAACGACCATATATCCGATAGAACAAAACGGATGCTTGGCTTCAGTTGCTCGTCGGAAATAGTTGCGATGACAGTCATGTTAAAAGACGACTTTGCATTTTACGATATAATAAACTTATGTTTTAACCACTTCACAAAGAAAAATAAAATGCCCCATGTCTAGACGTGAATTT